TTGGATGATCTTTTTTGGTAATGGGTGATCTTGAATGAACTGTAATAACCCAATAGTCGATTATCTTAGCTCTAGTGAAGAATATGTACAGTGAAGATGGTTATATACTTTTTACCATCCCTTGACTGTAAATTTCAATTGGTTTATAATCGTGCGAGGCGAAAGATGAATATAATAAAATTTTGTAGGAACTAGAAACAAAAATAACCAATAAAAATAGGGGGAACTAGCTGTATAAAGTTTGGTTCTTCATCATGTCAAAATTGTGTTAATTCTCATTTAAAATGTTACATCTTCATAAGCTCACATTACTAACTATCAGACATAAGATACTTCTTAACAATATTGCTGATTATCCGATGGACTCCTAATCTTACACTTTTATACTATTCTTTTTCCTGTTTATAGGTTAAGGACATAAGCTATTTTTCTCATCCTTAATCGCCATAACCCCCAAACAAAAAATGCAAGAAAAACAACAACGAAACCAAGAAGAAAAGGAATGGTAAATAAAAAACAAAAAACAACCCCAAAAACTCCATTACATGATGGATACCCCAATAACATCAGCCAACATTTATGCAGATGCAATAGATACATGCGTAAAGATTGAAAATTTTACATTCAAAGAACATAACTCCAAAAAAAAATTACAGAACCACCACACTTCAGTAAACAGCAAAACAGTATTTGCGAGATGAATGTTCATAGAAAAAAATAAAAATAAAAATAAAAAATAAAAACCCATCTCATATCTGTCAATCACAAGAAGCCACCAAATCAAACACGCACATAAGCACAGACGAATGAAGGGGAAAGGCGTGAAATTCGATTGTATCTAAAATGAAAGTTCTCAGTTTTACTTAAGAAGCCATACCTGAAACACTCAGCTGCTATAGCTGCAAATGAAATAAATAAATAAATAAATAGCGAATCGTGAGTTGAATCAGATCACCATCTAAAAAACAAGAAGTGTAGCCATTGAATTTGAGGGGGGAAGACGCAGAGAAAAAGGGAAAAACAATGGCAATTTTCGGGGGTTGGGAAGGGAAATTAAAGAGAATTTTTGGATGAAACCGTAATAAATTTTGTGGGGTTAATTGCAATTGCAGAGGACTTATTTAAGAATTATAATAATCGTCATACTCAAGTTTCTACAATAGTCATGGATTAAATAAAATAAAATAAGAAAAATTGAACATATCTATCATCTATCATTATATAAAAAGAATAACCATTTTTTAAAAATGGTAAGTCAAATTCTTAGTCAACATGTTTTGCATTAATTACTTGCCATTAGTGGTAATAAATATTTTTTTTTAAAGTTTTCCTGTGCAATTAATGCTTTCCAAGATTTTTGGGATGTTGTTATTTTGTAATTGACCAATGCACTGATTTTGCGTTAGAAAATCTTATCCCATTAAAAAATCTTATCCTATTAAATCTCCTTAATATAACACTTATTTTATATTAAGAAATAATAATACCACGAATTTTGATTTTCAATCATTCACAAATTAAAGAATCTTATAAATTAAATGTCAGCACTTGCCACTCCAAAACTCTATCCGGATTTTATTTAAAATCACAAATACCTTGCTCAATCAATTTTCCAAAATATAAGTCCGAGTTATTGTCTAAATATAAGTCCGAGTTATTGTCTAATAAATTTTTTTAGGGTATCTATATATAAAAAAGCAATTCTCCAAAATATAAGTCCTCTAATAATTTTTTTTTAGGATATCTACTATATAAAAAAATTAGCGCATGTTGTATTGTCTAATTATTTTTTTATGGTATTTGTAATTACTAATATTTTTGCTTAAAATTATTAAGGTTGGTTAGACCAACGGTTTTTTAGACTATAATATATAATAGTGGATATAACTCTAAATATATTTTTATATATAATATTATATATAATTTAGACATGTTGTTTGAGTATTTTTTTTTTACACATTCGTTAAAATGTATATATATAGAGAGAGAAATGTTAACTTTAAGTGATTTTAGATACTTTTTTTATAAAATAGTTTAGAAAAAAATGAGATAATTTCATATTTTTCAAGAATAATATATAATATTTTAGATACTTTTACACATTTTATATAATAGTTTAGGTATTCTTAATGTTTTAAAAATTTTTAGACAAATTTTTACATATTCTCTAGATTAAGAAATTGTTTTCCTTACAAAATAGTTTAAAAAATTTTTAGGTGACTTCACACATATTTCAAAAATAATGTAAAATATTTTGAATACTTTTTAGATATGTGATATATAATTTTGTATTACAAGAGAATAAGAGTTATAAAGCATGGTAATTTTAGATATAAAATTCTATTTTATTTGTTATAACTTACATGGAAGTTATGTTTAATTATCAATATCATCTCAATGCCTTGCTTTGCTTTTTTTTACTTCGTTTCGCGAGACAATATCTCTTATTAGACTCATAATATTTTATATAATTTTAAACATATTGTTTAGACAATTTTGTACACATTATACATGTCCACATACACATATGTTAAATATAAATAGTTTTAGGCATGTTAAAATAGTTTAAGAAATTTTTAGATGACTCCACATCTTTCAATAATGATATTTAAAATTTTAGATACTTTTACATATGTTATAAAATATTTTAGACGTTTTTAATACTTTAAACATTCATTTTTTTCAAATTCTTTTACACAAGATAATTATATATTGTTTACAACTCATATACGATAAATTAAATTACATATGAAGTTCACATCTTTAATTTATAATTATTAGTTAATATTACTTAACTTCATCTTTAATTTATAATCATTAACTAATATTGTTTACCCGTGCATCACACGGGATACGCACTAGTTTGTTTAGGATAAAATTAATTGATCGGCAATTTTAATTAGGTAATTTATAGTTAATATAAGATTAAAATGAAAAAGTCTATAAATTAATATTGATGTATATTAAATATTACTCGTTCTATAACAAAAATATTAGTGGTTGTATTATATTTTATTAAATTAATAATAAAATTTATTATAATAAATATTTTTTGAAATGAAATAAGTAGTTGAATATTATATGCTGATTTTTTTCCTATAAATGAAATAGTTATAGTTATTAAAAATTTAATTCTCCTAATATAAATGGGTTAACAAGTAAATAAAGGAGCACTTCCGTCTTTTTACCGTGTGTGAGTTTCAATTCTGGACTATCGATTTAAAGTCGGTAGTTCAAACATTTTTAAAAATAAATATTAAAAACATTTTTAAAAATAAATATTAATTGTTTTTGTTTGTTACTATGTTATTTTATTATTTTTTATGAATTCAAAACTAAACATGGAATTAATTCAAACTTATGTTGCATTTTTTTTCGTGAAGTTCTGATTTAATTGTTAAGACAAGAATGCGGAAACAGACCAATTAATTGTTCCAACCCATGTTACATACACACTTATAAAACACTAAAATTTAAAAATCATGCTACATATACACTTGTAAAATAAAATACTAATAACCTAATTCAATTTCCAAACGTTAACATACAAATAATAATCCACAATTCTTTTCATCTTTCAAATGAAAAAGAATAATAATATCAAATCTCAACTTCATTTTCCAAACACTGCAAAATAGAAAATTAAGCATGGAATATCTTGAGTTAGCTTCGAGAGTGAATAATGAGAAAACCCAAAGCCTGGGAAGAAGGAATTATTACAGGGAAAAACTAAACTGACTTCATATATACTTCAAACAGATGCAAAAGGCTAAAAAAACAAAGAACATGTCAGCAGCAGTTGATCATCATCAAGTTTCTCCCAGGCATAACTCCAAATGGAGCTCCATACAGTAATAAAGTTGTTCCTTATCTTTCTTAGCTAGAAAAGAAGGTACACAAAACGAAGATTGCCTCACTCGGGCTTCTTCTCTCTAGAACAATAGAAATCCATCAGTAAAAGTATCCAAGAACTTGACCGCCAACGTTTTGTCGAATAGCCTCCTCGTGATCGAGGACTCCATTCGGTGTTGTGATCACAACATAACCCCACTGCACAAAAAAAATAAAAATAAAAAATAAAAAGATGATCACAGTGGGAAAATTTTGTTTTTTAGCTTCAGTGTCGGATTGAAGAAACAACAATATAATTAGATTAAGTTTAAAGAAATGTATGGAAGATACAATATTATTCCTTCTAACATGATATTATAAGTTGATGTTGATGAGAAAATAGCCAAATACACATGCATGTCTACAAAGGAGCTCCTAGTTTAGAAGGCATTGTTACAGACCATATTGTTATCATAGGGCATATAGATTAACAGAATAAAGCTAAATTTCAGTTCATAATCTATTTGTAGAAAGAAAGAAAAAAAAAATTACTGATTCGGGCAAATTCCTAACTGTTGTGTATATAATAAGCTTAGGTGATTCGATGGCATTTGCATATCTGATTATTGGCAGTTGGAATGCTAGAATCCTTATTGTTCTGGAGTTATAACATGACAAACACGCACAATAACATTAAGATGGTAGCACATTTTCTATGCCAAATATGACTATATCAATGTTCTGATTTTCGAAACTACAGCGTCAAGTAAGACTGAAAAATCTCACATAGAAGTGCACCACGCTAAATGAAAATCATAAGAAAACCCAGGTTTTGACTTAAATATAACTACAGAAGGTTTATTCACGAGGTGTAGCATAATTTCCTCGGGAAAAAGAGGTAATCTGTTAGGCAAGTGTAAACAACGCCAACAGTTCATTCAGAACGCTTTCAAATCAATAGTTGCAACTTTGAATGAAACATGGATCTCATTCTTATTAGGAGTTTACCTTCAGGGGAAGTGTAGTATGAACTCATTATTATCCCCGTAAAAGTACTTATGCATGTTATAATAATTTCAAAACTCGAAGGAAGTTCAAAACCTCGCACATTAAATGAGCACACAAACACAAACCTCACTCGAGCAGAAACATCCCAGTTACCAACCAGTAAAGAACTGAAGGAAAACAAACCATACCTGACGTGTTGGAAGAGCACGAGTTTTGTAATTCTCGATGTACTGAGCCTTAACGTCTTGCCTATAAGTGATAGCCCGACAATCATTAACTCTACCCAGCAACTGCACAGTGATCCTCCCTACCCTGTGCTGATCGTGCACTTGAAAATCCTTGATGTAACCTGTTAATTTTTCACCATTCTCATTTCTGGTAGTATACACCTCAAAATATAGTAACAGTTCCCTATAAATCTAAAGCTCTCAAAACAGACCGTAATTAAAACCACGGTTGAAGATGTAAAAATTGGTTATATTTCATATCACAGAGTACACCAACGAAACCAACACACAAACCAAGTAAAGTGAGGCACAATCTGTTTAAATAACATGTAAAAATATCATTCAAATAACTACCCATGCTTTCACAATTGAAGGAGCCTCATTCAAGCTAATCAGTAATCAAGAGTTGTAGCTGTCAATAAATTTAGTTCGTTTTCCATATTTGGTTCTTCTTCTTCTTCTTCGTTTATTCTTCTTCACCATATTTTTATTTTAACAAAGATGCATACTTATGCATTTTTCTTTCCTCACTATCTCCACGTCATTTTCTCTCAATTGTCTATCTTCTTCACGCAAAAAACCTAGTCCGATTATTAGAAATTTAGAATCAGCGCAACCTATTTCTACCTATATCCTACAAAAATTCTGCATTAAAACAACAATATCATCAATCAGAAAAGCAATTCACAGACTGTACGTGTTTACTTAGTGACAATTACAGATACGAACAAAATGATTACACGGCCTACCTCTGTATTTCATGATTTGCAGGAAAGAGGAGAGAACATTGGAGATGGGCTTGAGCTCAGCAGTAGCGAAACGTCTCTTTTCGGCATTGACGATGGTTCTCAAGGCATCGTTCAGTATTCTTCTTCCCATTATGCAATTTCAACCCGTCTGCTTCTTCTTTTCTTCTTCTTCAGCAGTAGCTAAAACCCTTTTAACGAAAATGATTGATTGATCAGTTATGCAAGAGAAGAAATGTGGGTTTTGGAAATTGGGGCCTAATTTTCTTTGGAAATGGGCTTTTAACGAATGTGTGTCCTACATGTGGATATTGGGCTCGGTAAAGTCCGACTCAACTCATATTCGGAAACTTTTACCGCCAAGTTCGGGTTTTGGTGCTTTTGAATGCTTGTTACGCACATTTTTTGTCCTATTATTAATAAAATTCCTTGGTTTCCTTGTTAATATGTAGATATGTAGACTTCATTTGTTTCATTAGGTTCATATTGTTTCTAAAATGTGTAATCAAGTCGAACGAACATCATTTTTCTCCTTGTTAATATGTAGACTTCATTTGTTTCATTGGGTTCATATTGTTCCTAAAATGTGTAATCAAGTCGAACGAAGCTCGAGCTTCTAATACTTGAGCTCTTATAATAAATGAGTCAACAAATAAGCTCAACTCAGTTTATGCATCGATACTAATAAGTTGATCGTGAGTATTCAAAAATTTACAAATATTTAAAAGTCTTTATTTTCAAGAATCAATAAGCTATGTTCGAGTTTGAACTCTAACAAACTAAACGTGCTAACACGAAACTCATTTAGTATAACAACTCAAGATGCTTATACACGATTAATGAATTTTTTTGGAAACAACTAATAAACAAATACGAAATGATGAAACTGTGAGACGAAACAGAACAGTGTTCATTTGGCGTGAAGTTGTCATTTCATTGAGCGTAAAAGAAAAAGTATTTTGCCATTTTTCCCATTTTAATTTGACTCATTAGTTTACATTAGAATTAGAACAAAAAAATATGCTATAACTAAATGCTGATAAATTATCTCTATAGAATTTAATCTACGACCATAATATTATAACCAATAACCAACAATCGCAATACGATTCTCCTTTCTTTTTCCAATTTTATGCTAAGCATCAGAGCTTACGCTCAACAAGACTAAAGAATTATATATATATATAAAAAAAAAAATGAAAAAAAAAAAAAAAAAAAAAAAAAATGGAACCTCCTTGGTTCCCGTTAGAAATTTTCTGCCAACACCAAACTATAACATAAAAAAAAAAACGTCAAAATTTGATCGCACTGTATACAGAGTGCCAACTTATGATTAAGAAACTAGAAGAAGAACCTCATACTGTACGGACATGCATAAATATTGTACAGTTCATTATTTACAAATCATACAAAACTGAAACAGACCTCCATTCATTCTGCACAGCCATAGATAATCGGACTTACCATCGAAAAACCTACAATTAATCGACACCATCTTTGGTGGGGCCCACGAGGTTGCACCAACGAAACAATCAACAACGATAAATATTGGAACTCGAACGGGCAAATATCATATAACAATCGGTCTCGTCAATACGAGGCTGCAAAATCCTTGATCATCTGTTTCAATTGCTGCATGGGGAAATAAACATGGGAATTGGGATTGTGTTAACCAAAAATATTGGAATGAGTTACAAAACCGAGAGCTAAAGGTAATAAAAGATCAAGTGACCTTTAGTTCTTCATGGAGCACGGTAAATATTTTCTTCTGCCGTTTATGTTTCTGCAAGAGGCCGCCAGGTATTAGTCAAGAAGTAATCAAATTGACAGAAGAATTAATAGATTGAAAGTCCAGAATCAAGTCATCATCATAGTTGCTACAAGTTCAACCGATGCAAGTGTTCAGAATTATTATTATTATTATTATTATTTTTATTATCATGGTCATCATAATCATCATCTAGTTAAATAAGTACCCATCAAATTGAGGTCCATCCTACTTTTCATCATTATTTTCTTTTTCGAGAAGGAAAATGTTTCATAATTACAAGTATCCATTAATTCATTACAAACACCCATTTGAGGTTTGCATGTTCTAGTTAAATCCCCCAAAGTCATTTCAGAGATACACGACTTACTTTTTCTTTTTCTTTCTTCTTTTTTTTTCTTTTCTTTCTTTTTTTCTTTCTTTCTTTCTCTCTTTCCATTGCCATTGCAACTAGACTAACTTTTCTGGTACTTTTCGTCATTAACCTTCATAATTTCATGAACAGGAAACCACACGGGACAAACATTAAGTACCTCTCCACATTGATGAAATGATGATCTCATCTGCTTCAAGGTGTCATGATATCTCTTCGTATCCCTACCTTTATAAGTCTCGAGATCCTTCCCATATTTAGTGAACTCATCCCTGTACATATGAAGACACACGTTTCAGGCAACTGTATTGGACCAACAAAACCCATAAAGGGCCTAATATGGCTCAAAATACCTGTAATCCTCCAAAATTTTGTTCAAGTGACGATAACTCTCGTATTTCTCTTGATATTCCTTCACGTATTCATTGTACCTGAAAAAAAAAGTATGATCAAACATAAAAAGAAACACTGAGCAACTGATACGATAGATTTACGACACACCAAATGTTGAAGGTACAGATGGCCTTTTTTAATTTACAAAAAACAACGTTCACACTTACTGAGAGGCATCCTTAATTGGACCCTTCAGCTCAGGCTCTTCCTTCTCGTATTTGGCATACAAATTGTCTTCGTCTGGAGAAAATTCTTTCTTCTTTTGACCGCTGTTGTCATTGGCGCCTGTCAAAGAATTATCTACTCGTCTACCATTCGAGTTGCCCACCACATTAGTGGACTTCTGCTTCTTGCTTACTTTCGTGGTAACGGGACCAACTCCTCGAACAAGATCATGCTGTACCTGCTGCTGCTCCGTTGAATCAACAGACATTCTTCTAGAAGCATCCAGATGACCTTCCGAGCTGCGGGCTCTACCTGGCCCAGCATCAGCTGCAAATCTACTTTTATTACCCGTTTCCAATATTCTAACGTGCTGGGGCCCAGGTTGCATATGCTGCTGCTCCACAGGCCTACTGCTTTTCTTATGCAGTCTTATGTGATCGTCAACATTTTTCTCCAAACCCTTTCTCTTACTAGATGGTGGTCCATCCGCACACCCAGAAACCACCGCCTCCGAATTCCGAGGGGAAGATTTAGCCCCCGAATCAATATTTATCTTACTGTTCGGTGGTTTCAATCTACCTTGATCAGAGTTCCTGCACACGGACTCCTTATTCTCCATCTGTTTGAAAGAATTCTTCCTCTCAATATGCTTCTTCGGCAAAAAAGGGGTAGTAGTAGCAGCATCCTCAATCGGCTCCCGAAACTCGCCCAACTCCAAATCCGAGTACTCCCTTCGCAGCACGCTACCACGCCCGTTCGCCACAGGCAATCTATTTTCTTCCATGCTAGTGACGTTTTCCTTTTTCCTACTATCTTCGACCGGAAAAACGCTGCTTTTGTTGCCCTCTGACGAAAATCTCGCCGGCCTTCTCTCACCAACTAAACCATCATCCTCTGGAAAAATGCTGCTTTTCTTACTCGGATCATTATCATCATTACCATCATCATCGTCATCCATGTTGATGATGTCGACCATGACATCGACAGGTCTCTGCTCCGGGCTCTGATCGGGCCTGTCCGGGGAGGAATTCTCGGGACTCTCCCCGAAAATAGAGTTTATAGTACCCGAAACCGGCTGGCTCAAGTTACCGGTCCTAAACCAGTTGGGAGATGGGAAATTGCCGTCATCTTGTGGAGCATCTCTATTGTTCTCCTCCAGGTGGGGTCCAGCTGGCGGAGGGTCCTCGTCGCTCATGATGTCGACTTCCTCGTCAGACGCCTGCTTGCTGCTGACAGACGCGTCGTCGCTGTCGGAGTCGCTGCGGCTGTGGCTCGGGCTCGAGCTGCTGTCGCTGTCGCTCGAGCTGCTGCTGTCGTCGCTCGAGCTGTTGTTGCCGGCGGCGGGGGGAGCCTTGCTGTCGCTGTGCTGTTGTTGGGGTGGGATTGGGTGCATCGCGGTGCGTGGAGAGGGAATAGAGTTGTTGAGTTCTCCATGTTGTTGGTCGTGGTTGTCGGATGTTGGTGGGGGGAGCTGGGTGGGCTTCTCGGGTGATGGTGGTTGGTGGCGGTTGGAGGCGGGGGAACTGAAGGGAATATACAGGTGGAGTTTAAATGCGAGAAATTATAAGATCTTCAGAATGTGTAGATTGATGTTTTAGACTCTTTTTAGAGGGGAAAACCAGAAAAAGACTTCAATTCTAAAACAATACTCAATATTATCAATATAATTAAATAATAACAATCAATCATCCTCACACATCCATGAGATGACATCAACTTCAATTCACTATTCATCAATTCACATAATTTTAACTACTCATCACTTCCAATTAACTCTCTCCTACTTTTACATCAAATCAACTTATAATCATTTTATTTTAAAAATTATTTTAATATAAACTTCCTACTAACAACTAGCCATATCACTTTTCCTCAAATTAACCATACCAAACCAAAAAATTCAAACAAAATCAAAACATCTTAAATCCAAGCATCCCCTAAGAGCTCATAAGCTAAAAACAAGATCTTATTTAACAGCTTCCTTTAATATTCACTCTTCTGTTTACAGAAGACTTGGTACAAACATCTAAAATTTAATATGTCAGCAACTACGCAAAATAAAATCTTAACGTCTACAAAGTTCTGTAAACATTTTATGACATGTAGAAACTCTTGAAACATAAGGTTTAGCCGAACATCCTTGTAATCAAAGTAGATAAATGTAGTTTAAAACTTACATGTAACAAGCCCACAACGAAAAGGTATTTAGACGCCTAATGCAAAAACCTCATAGAAAAGTAATTACAATGGTTCTCTTATTCTTGCAATTTCTACGTTGATGACACAATATTATGAGATTATTAATCAGAAATAAAGAAAGATAAAAACCAACATAAACTCCTTTAGACTCCCTGATCAAATAACTATCGGTACTGAATATTGACACAAACAGATGCCCTTACAGAACTTCGTTCATCCTGTCTCCAACCTCTCAAATTTTCAGTTTGAGACCACTTTTTTTCATATGCAACAAACATCTAAGCTAACTAAACAGCACTTATATAAAGCTTGTAAGGCAAGCAAAGAGACAGCAAAGGAAAAGGAAAATGGAAACACACACAACACAATTGAAGAAACAAAGCACAGGCATGAATGGTCAGAGAGAACACTTGATGAGATAGCAAACCTTCCACTTTGAGAAGGTGGTTTCTTCATGCTTTCCTTCTCCAGTCCTTGCTTCAATAAATATCTCCCAGGAGATTGAAAAACTGCGACCTGACAGTAATAGTTAGGTAAATATGAGAAACAATCACTCTTACCAACAACCCTCACTAAAAATATTCAACACATACTTGTTTCAAGATAGGGTCGATTTGGCGGGCTGAATTGGGCATAACTTCTCCAACGGCTTTCTCCAAGGCCTAAAAGGTAATAACAAGAGGAAGATCTAATTACAAAACTAGTGAATCCAAATGCATTCTCCTCACGTACTTTGTGTTTCACCCATTCCATATCNATAAAGATGCAAAATATCTCAAACTCGCCGGATTACCTTAAGGCTCATACCCTTAGACTGGTTCTCCTGAAGTAGTGATATCACCAAACTTTTCAAATCAGCAGGTTTGGCCTCCATGTTCCTACTGTGTTTAGATTTCTCTCGGATAATATTATGTGGCAACTTGCTGGGAGTTTCTTTCTCTGAGCTGGAAATGATATTCGTATTTTGTGTGGGTGCGACATCGGTTATGTCAACACGTCCCTTCAAAAGATTCCCACTTACAGCTGGGGACGCTGGCCCACCGTGTTGTTCTGGTTGCGAAGACAGAGGTGAGCCAGATGAGATTTTACACTTTGAAAGAGTTGTTGGAGGCACACTAGCTTTATAGGCAGATTTAGGAGGCCCACCTGTAACTCATACGAATAACAATTAGAAAAAAGTAAACAAATAAAAGATATAATTACATCTGTTATCAATTGGTTTACAATAAATACATTTGAAATTTTACACACTGGTAATTAAATACAAATAGTAAAGGAGGACCAACTAAGAAACTGGAGAATGGATCATCAAATTAGATCTCCCAATTACCTAAAGGTGGATCCAATTTTGCCTTTTTAAAAGGAGGTTCTTTCCGGTTCTTGAAATTTCTCCATGGATTAGCTGTAATAGAATGGAATGCAATTAAATTAGTAAAATTGTCAACGATCAATCATACAGATATTCCATGTATAGTCAAGATGGCATTAGTAAGGAGCAAAACGTTCTTCCATCTCCTGAATCCATTCGTGTCCGTGTGCATAGATGTTAGGATAAGTACTGCATAGCAGACTTTGATTCTTTTAAAAACTAAGTTCGAAAAAATTTGCCCAAGTGACAAATGCTAGTCAGAAATCAATAATAATAATGAAGGTCGGCTGAATCTCATCGCGCAAATAAACTCACTGGTCTCTCTCTCTCTCACACCCTCCAAATACCAGATTATAATCAACTCTTCCACATTCTATACATATAAGGAAATCCAATAATTTCCTTAAAACTATAATATTTTATTTATTTATCTTAGTCCCGATAAGTTATAAATGAGACTCATACTGTGTCTATATTTGGCTTGATTTTCAATTTCTATTCATTAATGAAGCCAATGTGTTAAAATATTATTTCCAAAGGAAAAACTCACAAACAATCACCAGCTCTAACAGATTCTCAATCACAACTCTCATAATCACTATTCTCTCT